TGCAGTGAGACGAAGTGATCATCGTCATGAACCGCGGCCTTCACGTACAGAGAAAACTTTTCGGTAAGTTGGTCGATGACGACCACTTGTTGTTTGTGGTGATGAACTTATCGCCGGCTATGAATCTTTGTACCGCAGCACTAATGTGTTTCAGAACGGCGGTGAAGTGGCTCTGAAAGTCTGATTTTGGATAAGACACCGAACGAGTCGCCTTCCGACGGCATGCCGTGGGATTCGTTCCGCAAGAAGAAGGAAGTGTCCTCTCGAAAGCGCGACGAAGCGGTCACCGGCTGCTTTGCGAAGGGCAGTTCATTGGAGAGTCACGCCCTCGGCTTGCCAAAGGAGGTTTACCAAAAGATCAAAGAAGTCGACCAGCAGGCGTCCACGTTGTCCACCGCTAATCACCCGGGCCTTTCGGCAAGAATTGTCGATAAGTAAGTGGTGACCAACAGGCGTTTGTAACTTCGCCTCAGTTTCGCCTCTAAAGCACACAGAATAACGGAGTACAAGCTGAAACAGTCTGGCCTTCGACGGTCACTGCTGTCGGTGACATGAACATGTGTTGTTTCGGTGAACACTATGATGCTTGTGTTGCTGGCGTGTATCCACCCACTACCGGTCTTTAAATACAATAAAGTCGCTTTTCCGTTCTTAAGTACCCCTCCCCCACATTCCCATTATACATCTGGAAGCAAAAATCTTCAGATCTTGCTGAATATTTCCGGTTAACTGAATTGTATGAGAATTGATGTAATGCAGCGCTTGTTCGTTTTAAAGTTAAAGTCAAAATGAGGTACGTGTTCAGTTGCCTCCTCTTCTGAATGCTTGCAGATCCCGAACATCATCGATGCGTTAGTGCATACCGCAACTTAATTGCCTCATATTGACCGTATATGACTGCTACAACTAAGTCTGTAATCGACGTCAAAAGGGGATCACGTCGGTTGAGAATTTACTTCATTTCGTTCACTGCAAATTAGATTTCTTGGTTTGCTTCTCAACGTGTTCATGAGAACCGCACGTCGCACATCTTTCGTGTGACGCAGAACCTGTGCTTTGTTATAGATAGCACTGAACATATAAAGTATGTCGAAGAAGTACCTACTTCATTCTTAGATCATTGGTCTGTGACAAACTGAGCTAATTAGTAAGATTACCTATGACAGATAATGTCTCAAATATGGATTTGTGGGTGCTTAAGTAACAAGGTGTACATTGTTATTGTCATCATCTGCTGCAAACAAAACTTGAACAGCAGACTCGTCCAGATTTATAATGTCTGTCCGTTTGTAATAGTGTCTATGATATATTTGTGACTAGGCATTGTTTAGTGTAGCAGTGGAGGTAACATTGCTGGTTGCAAGCCCAGTTTATTTTTATCAGTTGTTTCCAAATTAGCTTTTGTCCCGTAATGGGCATCTGGTAAGTGATGTTCCCACCAGGAAAAATTTCGAATAAATTTTTTTTCTTTTTTTGGCTGTTCTGTCAATCCAAGCCAGCGCTGGTCTCTGAATTAATCTGACCCTTTCGTCCACCTTCTTCAGCCGAT